TGGTCGTTCCCATGGAATATTTTTGACTTTAATGGTATTAGTCATGATATGAATCTCAAGGTATGAACGAGGAGAGATGAGAGACTTATATGCTTCCCAAATTTCTTCAAAAGGTAATGTTATACCTGACTGTTTCCAAATGAGTTCAATATCATAGCGTGAGAAACCTTGAAAGATAACGAAGTCAGTTATGAGACGTTTTATGTTTAAAGCTAAAAACCTCCATGTTTGCATAAGTATTGCTACAGTTAAATGGTAATGTCTGACTTAGTAATGATGTTAGCTAATGGTGAGTCTGGTTTTGACACTAAACCTTTTCCGGCGAAGTCGTCACAAACGAGCAAGTGTTTGAAGGATATTTTTTGAAGGGGTATTTTGAAAGTTTTGATAGAATGTAGTTTGTAAGTCGTTTCATATCGTAAACTCCTGAGTATTGACGTAAGTGGTGTTTGTCAATAATTCTTTCCATCTCCTCAGAAGTCTTTTGCATTCCTGACTGTATGAACTCTACGATGGCATAATATTTCCTCTTACGTCGAATGTAACGTTGAAGAAATTCAATGAGTTCACTGTCTGGAACTTTAACGACAGAGGCTTGAACTTTTGACATAAATGTTTTCGCTGTTGAGTCCATAGAGTCTGAAGTTGCTGATATAATGATTTGGTCATAGTAAGAGTCGTTTCCTAAACGCTCTGTTATGAGTATATGACGAATGAGGTTAAATGTCTTACCTGAACCCATCTTTCCACAATAGAAATACACACCATTTGAACAGAACTCATAGTCCTTACTGAAAGGAAGAATGAGAGAAGAGTTAAGTTTGTCTGTAGTTTCATTCATGTCTTCATCTACGTCATGTATTAAATGCTTCATTTTATCTCCATTAAAAATGCAAGTCAGAAATATTCAGAACATAGCACCGAGTCTAACTGACAAGAGTATAAAGATATACTATGAACACGTTATGATGAAACCAACCAAAATTCAAGAAAGTCAGTATACTTATGAATATCCAAGACACTGGGTAGAGTATGTAGGAGGTGAGAAAGCTATTGAAATCAGACAGGTTCGAAGTATTCCAGCAGGAAGAACAATATTATTGAAGAACTTTAATGTTTTGAGGTATAATGATGAAACAAAGAAGCAAGATAGTTTTCCCTGTTGCTGTGTATGTGAACTTAGATACAGGAGATGACATGAAAGTTTTTAACACAAAGCTTCAAACGGTAGTGAGAGAACAACTTACTGCGGAAGGACATCCATTACCTTCAGAAGTTACCATAGCATATAATTTTAACAAACTCAATAGATTTTAAAGTCATCTCTGCAAAGAAGTCAGGTTTTACATTTAATGAAGCAGATGTATATTCGAATGAAAACTTCAAAGCTATTGCATGGTTATATAATGACGATTGCTTTAAGAAAATATTTAAATACAGTGACTCAACGATGTCAATAGATGACCTTCGGAATGTTACCATCGACGTTTACAGTAGAAGGTTCAGCAGGATTGCTTACAAGATTGTCCAATTGGTGGTATTGGTCTCGTGAGAACATTGTATAAAAATCCAGTATAAGTGAATTTGCTGAAGAATCTATATTATGTCTTTCAAACTACATGTATTCGCCGCCGAAGCATTATAGTATAACAAACTTTGTCAGTAAGTTTAACATAAGACTTGTCGAACCTTCTTCAATGAAAGATGTTGTGCTACCTAAAGATGGAAAGGATGGACTCATTATTGAGATGATTTTAATAGCATATTAAATGAGCTTGTTCTTGAAGGTCATTCATGATGAAATAACTGTTGTAGAAGATGTTAGCAATTGTTCAGACATTTTGAAGCGTATAGATGAGATAAGAAAGAAGTTAGATAGACCGCAAAGCGGTGAGGGCGAAGCCCGTGAGAACGCTTATGTTTCATTGACTTTCTCCAGTAACGAGAACTTTTATGAGATAATATTGAAGAGAGATGATTTTAATATGGTGTAAATGGTAGCTTGGGCAGCTTTAGGCGCAATGGGAACAAAAGCATTAGCATTTGGAGCAAAAGCACTTGGAGCTTATGACGCAGTAAATAAAATGAGTGGAGGAAGGGTTTCAAAGACATTAGATGCAAATAAAGGGAAGATTGGAGGCTGGGTTGCAAAGAAGTTAAGATTAAATAAAATAGGGCTCATAAATAAAGCATCCAATTTGGTTGCGACTGAGTCAGAAAATGCTTTAGGAAAGGACGATGAGTTTGCAAAACACGCAAAAGACTTTAATGCCCAGATGAAAGGTGAAACAATGCATTTAAATAGAGTCGATGGAACTAAAGAAAATGTTTCTTCTCCACCAGTAGTTCTTCCGTATGGTCCCTATGGAATGTATGGAAACCCTTATGAACGACCATTTGACCCATTGACTGGTGGAAGTAATTGGTATCATTATGGACGAAGAAGAAAGACAGTCAAGTTGGAGACAGATGTGAAGAAAGCAACTAAAAAGAAACCAAGGAAGAGAGTTATAAAGCAATGAATTCAACAGGGTAGAAAAGAGGTTAGATCTAACCTTCTACCCTATATTTATTTTTGTGCTATGTTTTCATACGTGTGAGGGTGGTGATATCATTAATTTTTAAGTTTATTTTTTATTTTATTTTTATATAAATGACGAAAACTATTGAGATAACAAACTACAACGGTCATGAGTTCAAGAATTTGTTCTTCGTTCCTCGTGAAAATACATTCTATCAGATACGAGGGAGAAAAGGTAAAGTTAGTTTGAGCGTTTATGAAGGAATGAAGAATGGAAAGTTTATACAAGCATACGATACAAACGGTAAACGTGTTTCATTAGCTTTGTCAAAACTTACATACATTCATTTTGACAGTGACTTTGACTCTGACGATTGGAGTGACAGCAGCGATACTGAAGAATATGAACTATTGTGTGAAGCACAGCAATGGGAAGCGCTGCAATACTTTTGTAAATGAGAACATTTATTTTTTCATTAGTGAAGTCGTTTGTGAAAACGTTAGTGAGGTGAAGTGGTTGGTGGTTTTGTAAATATTTAAGGTTAAGTCAGTGTTGTCGTTTGTGTTGTAAAATATACGTTAACGGTTTTGTAAAGTGTCAAATTCACATAACAAGTGTAAGGAGGCGCGCAGTGCCTCAGTACACTTGTTATGTATACTAACTACTTTTTTTAAAATTAATGAATAAACAGTATATTTTTGAAGTGCAAGCTTATTTACCTGAAGCTATATTACTTAATATAACATTCAAAGTATTATTGCTATTTATTGGAGAACAAATTTATGTAATTTTCACATGAAAATTGATAAATTTGTATTTCCTTATGATAATCAATTTTTGTATTTGTAGAGAGTCTCCCTGCATGATATCAAGACTTGGCTATAAGTCTTTATCCATTTTTGAAAATTGTATTGTAAATTGTAAGAATTTCTGAATACTACTACTATAAAATATAATTGCTTATCAATGTATATTCTCCCTGCATGATATCAAGACTTGGCTATAAGTCTTTATCCATTTTTGAAAATTGTATTGTAAATTGTAAGAATTTCTGAATACTACTACTATAAAATATAATTGCTTATCAATGTATATTCTCCCTGCATGATATCAAGACTTGGCTATAAGTCTTTATCCATTTTTGAAAATTGTATTGTAAATTGTAAGAATTTCTGAATACTACTACTATAAAATATAATTGCTTATCAATGTATATTCTCCCTGCATGATATCAAGACTTGGCTATAAGTCTTTATCCATTTTTGAAAATTGTATTGTAAATTGTAAGAATTTCTGAATACTACTACTATAAAATATAATTGCTTATCAATGTATATTCTCCCTGCATGATATCAAGACTTGGCTATAAGTCTTTATCCATTTTTGAAAATTGTATTGTAAATTGTAAGAATTTCTGAATACTACTACTATAAAATATAATTGCTTATCAATGTATATTCTCCCTGCATGATATCAAGACTTGGCTATAAGTCTCTATTCATTATGAGTATGACCCCATTTTTTTACAAAAAGTGCCGAATTGCAACTTTGTCCCAATCTCTTTAAAAAGGTTTGATCAAATTCTTAGCGGGTTTTCAATGAGCCATCGCAATAATTGAATATCATTCAATGTTAACAAATAAGAATGTCAATTACTTTCTGGGAAATGTAATGACTAGAGTTTTTCTTTGAATTTGATTTAATATCGTTTAATAATAGAGAAAAGTGCCATTTATAAATCTGGGGTCAATTGAAGAGGAACAGAGAAAGCACTGCCGTTTCTCGGGAAATTTTAATGCTATTTTCGTTCCAAATTGATGTAATTTCACTATGATTACTCCAAAATTGTCTGCTTTTGTCCGAAAATCAATCGCTTAATACCAGAGTCTTTGTATGTTTGCCACCAATATTACTATCAAAAGAAGAATTTCGGACAAAAGAAATTCTGCAAAAATTTGTTCTGTTTACTTAAAGTTTTTATTGTCATTAATTGCTGTTATAACAATATCATTGATATTGGTCATTTCTCCATATACAATTATTAAAATTTGGATAAATGATTAAATAATTATTTCATATGTTCCAAAAATATTCCTAATTCCATTCTATGCATCAATACTAGAGCTATTTATTCAGATGTTTTCAACTGTGGAGTTTTGGCATTGATTTGTCCAATTATTATTCCTGAACAAGCTGAAGGAATGATAATTGATGCCATTTATTGTGAATTATGCAGCTGTGGTATTGGGGGTTGACCAGCTTTGCTTATACTCGTGGAATTCCTCATGATGCTGTTTTCAGCTTAAAATTATGATTTTACTGAGACGTTTCGACGGTTCGTGTTGATTTAATTGATGCTAAATTATTGCTTAACATGGAATAATTGCCTACATACGATTTTCATGAAGGTATACCAATAATTAAAAAAAATACAAATTAATTTTATTATTTTTAAAATAAATCTATAGAAACAGTCTTTTACCAAAGAAGCAGCTCAATCATAAGAACTGTGAGTGTCAGAGCTAATGTGATTGGGGTAACAATAAAGCCAATCTTCATGAATTCAGCAAAACCAAGTTTGACGTGGTTACCTCTTAATAGGCCAATCCACATGATTCCTGCAAGAGATCCAAGTGGAGTGAACAAAGCTGTGAGGTTGGAGCCAATAATTGAAGAGTAGATTGGGCCAAGAAGTTTTGGATGGTTGAGGCTGTTGATAATTGGAACAAGAGCAACAGATGCCGGAATACTGTTCAACAAGTTACCAAAGATTGTTGCGATAACTCCAAAGACACAGATTGCGATAGGAGTGGAGATATTTGTAAGTCTGGCGATGTTGCGGCCAATTACTTCGAACAATCCAGTATCTGTGAGTGTTGAAACAAGAATGAAAAGTGAGAGAAGGAAAGGAATTATTGAGTACGGAAGAGAGGAGAAGATCTCTTTGAGTTTGGATGGCTCTGGACTCTTGCAGTGGATTATGTCTATAATAATATTGTAAACAAGTAGAATTGAAGCAAGAACACCGGCAATAACCCATAATTCGACATTGAAACCTGGAATAGATGTAAAAGCCATGAACAAAACTGTGGCAGCAAGGAAAATGACCCCAACCCACATATCAAGTTTGCTGTTGATGAGTGTCATCGGAGAAGCTAATTCTTCTTTAAGAATAACTTCTTTTGTGATTTGCTTTTTGTACATGAGGTAAAGCATGATGCACGGTGTCATTCCTGCAACAATGCTGGGAAGAATGCGTATTTGCAATAAAAACCAAAATCATGACCAAATCCTGTAGCAATAACGACATTCGTTGGGTTGGAAATGATCAGCATGATACCCCAGCTGTTGGCTGACATGAACTGACCAAATAGGAAGGGTATTGGATTAATTCCAGCTGCACGAGCAAAATAAGTGACAAATGGTGTGAAAGTAAGAATTGCTACATCATTTGATGATAAAATAGTAATGAAAGCAACTGTGAAGTAGATCAACATGAATAACTTTGTACCGCTCTTTCCTGACTTCTTGATAGCCCATGTGGCGCACATCTTGAAAAATCCTGTTGTATCAAGAAACATCGATATGTAAACTGTTGCGAAGACTAGAATGATGATACCAATTGGATTAAGAGAAGAAAACTCCCATAACTAGTGAATTGCAGCACGAGCTGGTATAAACTGGCATGCTAAAAATATGATAGCAGCAATAAATGGAGGAATCCAATAAGTATCAAGTGTGAATTTAATTTTCTTCAGAATTCAATTTCAAAAAGTATCGTTGGATTTTTTTTCACACTTTTTTTCCATTTCTTCATTATAATGAGAAAGTATTCACACTTGCGCACTTTAAAAATATCTAGTAATTAAATCTATCTGCAGATAGAAAATAAATATTTATCTGCTGTTACGTTTTCCATTCAAAAATTGTTTTTATTCGACGATTTTATTTTGTTTTTATAATAATGAGGATAAACACGCGTATTCTCATTAATAAAAAGTTCGTATATTCTTTTTTACCAGAGTACTTGCTGAATCAAAAAGTTGAAATTGAACCTGAGCGACTTTCCCTCAGGCTCCACCTGGTTTTTACGTTGTCACTATGTAAATTATTTACAACTTTCTCGCCTTCCGCATTACTAAGCGTAATCAGAATGCTAATAATTTACATCTATTCAAAATTAATTATCTGTATCCAGTTTTTTTAAAATATTTTGTGATAAATAATAAAGAGAAACTCATTTTTTCTGACGGTTTGTCACAATAAATAATTTACGTAGCGGTTAGGTTAAATTGTTGAATGGCGGACCAACCGATCCAATTTAAATTTATTGTTATCGGCTGCTCAGGAGCAGGCAAAACTAGTATCCTTAGACGTCTTGTCGAGAACAAATTCGTTAAAGGCACCCAGTCTACCGTTGGTATCGAATATTTCACACACATCACAACCATCAATGGACGTACAATCAAAATGATGATTTGGGATACAGCCGGCCAAGAGCGCTTCTACACAATTGCAAAAGCATATTTCAGGTCCGCTCTCGGAGTAGTCCTAGTTTTTGATATTACTGATAGAAAGAGTTTCGATCAGCTCCCTCGCTGGCTTAGAGATGCTCGCATGGAAGCAGATCCACATTGCTCTGTAATCCTTGTCGGTAACAAATCAGATTTAGCCGCAAATCGTCTTGTTTCCAAGGAAGAAGCCGAAGAGTTTGCAAGAACCCACGAACTCCAATACATTGAAACATCAGCTCTTGACAACAACAACATCGAAGAGACGTTTATCAAGACAGGAGCTGATCTTCTCCGCAAAGTCGGAACTGGTGAAATTGCTGCTGCAGTCACTCCTCCAGGAAGTGTTCAGGGTAGTGTTACTGTTACAGATTCTAAGGATAAGGGCAAGAAGAAGAATTGCTGTTAATTTTTGCAAATTTTCGTTATAAAATTCTTGCATTTGCTTAAATTCTTACTTTCGTTTCTTCATTATTTTATTTGATTTACCAATTATCATCAAAAATTTTTATTGCTGGAAATTTATAAAAGAATGATATTAACTATAATTATATTTTAAATAGGAAACTATTGCAAGCTTTCGAAAATCGTGATATTCAATGAGTCTAGAACTCACATGATTAATAGATAATTTTTTTTTTCAATGCCATTGACCAATTTAATAAACAATAATTTCAAAGGGATAATTTTTTATTGATTAGTCGTAAGGATGTCAATTTGGAAGAAAAGTGAGAAAATTCCTAAAATGCTAAAAATGAATTTTCCAAACGTATTTTTTTATCTGATTTTTTTGATTTTGAAAAAAATTTGGAGAGAAGAACTCTTCGTTTTTGAATTTTATCACGATGGTTTTAAAGTATATTAGACACATGTATTGGTATTACTATTTTTGTATATTTTGAGAGAAAATCCCTAAAAAGTGAGAAAATCTAAGACGGTTTGAGAAAATATATAAACTATTGAGAATTAAACTATTGATTTTGGTTGAAATAGAAATTATTATTTGCTTACAGTTATCAAATAGATTTTTGCTATTTTGATTAAAATTTGTTAATCAAATTAATAAATTTTTTCTAAATATCTTAAATATCTGGATCACTCACATATACAATGAATTGAACGATAAAAATAATACAAACTCAACTAAGTTTCCTGTCTTTCACAAAAAAAAATTATGCAAATTAAATTAAATTGTTTATTCAAATATAAAACAAAGATGAAGTAATTACAGTTATCATAAACTTTATGAATAACTCTGTAATTGGTTCAGATTTTCGTAAAAATATTTTTATTAATATCGATAAGAATACGTTTACCTACTATCACAACATATCGATAAACAAGAGTAGAGTGATTTTTATCATCGAAACTTTTTAAAAGCTGTAAGCTGGAAGGAAAAATCTTGTTTTTTCTGAGTTAGTTGTAGAACTATTGATGCACGAGTTATCATTGTGATGTAGAAGGATGTCAATGTACTGACTGAAGGATATGAAGTGAATTGAATTTCATTGCATTTCAATTTGATCAAAATTTGTTGAAATGATATGAATGTGTCAACATCTGTATCACTCTCTTTCACTCCTTCCCTATTCTTTCGAGAACGAAGCTAGCTCAGCTTTCGCTGAGCGAATTGACATTTTTGATGCCCTAAACGTACATGCTCTCAAATTTATCGAAAAAAATTATACCACCTAAACCAGTATATTCTTATTTTAAATATGATATTATCCTTAGAATCCACACTAGAATATATTTAAATCAACTTTTAAAAAAGTTCGAATCCTGCGCGTCTCACTTTTTAAATTTTCCAAATGGAAAATTATATTCTCCTAAAATGAAAACAATTTTCCGAATTGACATCCTTATTAGTCGGGCTTGTATTGCCATTTTGGTTTTAGAATTCTTTTTGAAGGATCTATCCACCAATTATTTTCTTCATTGCATAGTGTCGGTAGATCTTTTTCAGTATATATAGTTTGAGTTATATCTAGAGTGAAATTAGGATCAAGTAAATAAGCAAACCTTGGATCAGGTGGAGCAAGTTCAGTATCATCTTTAAATATCTTTGCAGGTCTCATTGGATAGTATCTTTGTATATCATGCCTGCAATAGTGTGTTCTAAACAAATAGCTTTTATTTAAGAATGGGTGATTTGCTTGATCTGTGTGTGCAAAGGCTAATTGCTTATTAATATATAATGAGTAATTGTTGAAACAATAAGAGCAATGGGTTGCTATTGGAAAATCAGACCATTTTCTTCTTCTCTCTGCCTTTCTATACCACATGAATTCGTGAGTCTCTGGAGTGTATTTAATGAATGTGTTTGTGTAACAATCATCAGCTTCAAACATGAAGTTCGGATTTGTATTTATTCCCCACATACTGTAGTAATCTTCTGGGGGATGTTCAATCATATATCTCATTCCATTTCTAGTTGGAATTTCATCAAGATCACAATTTAGAATATAGTCTCCATACTGAGGATAGTTAGTATCCCTAAGTCGTGTACTGTGGCACTGCGCGCCTCCGTACACCACTTAGCGGTTTTGACACTTTACGAAACCAGTAACGTATATTTTACAACACAACCATAACACCAACTTAACCTTAAATATTTACAAAACCATCTGACACATAAACGACTTCACTAATGACTTCACTAACGACTTCACTAACGAATTCACTACCATCCTCACTAAATAAAAATAACCTTATTTTATTTTTTTTAAATTTTTTATTTCATTACAAAGACATGTCCGACTACATTTACTATGACTCTTTCCCAGAACGTTTCCGTGAACTATTCAAAACTCAAGTAAAACTGAGAAACATGCATTTTAACAAAGACAGACCCATTGACGATGAAAGAAACCCTGAATATATTACAATCCCTTATGACGCAAAGTTCATTGCATACATTCCTTATGGTCGCAGAGGAACGAAAACTATTTCAACAAAGAACAAAAATTATTTCTGGAGCGATGAAGAAAATTGCCTTATCTACATAAATGCATACTTAAATAAAGCTACATATTGTACAAAAGAAGGTTGGACTGGATTTGAGCTCTACATATACGACGACGATGGAAACAGACGTTGTGTATACCCATACGATAATATGTACCATTGTTTTCATCAAGCATTAAACGAATACATAGTCAGTAAGGGTCTCATTCCTGTTGAGTAGATGTGCTTTATTTTTGTTCTGTCATTTATATAAAAATTAATGATATCACCACCCTCACACGTATGAAAACATAGCACAAAAATAAATTTAGGTGAAGTGGTGAGATCTCACCTCTTTTTTCACCTCTTTTCTCACCCTGTTGAATTCATTGCTTTATAACTCTCTTCCTTGGTTTCTTTTTAGTTGCTTTCTTCACATCTGTCTCCAACTTGACTGTCTTTCTTCTTCGTCCATAATGATACCAATTACTTCCACCAGTCAATGGGTCAAATGGTCGTTCATAAGGGTTTCCATACATTCCATAGGGACCATACGGAAGAACTACTAGTGGAGAAGAAACATTTTCTTTAGTTCCATCGACTCTATTTAAATGCATTGTTTCACCTTTCATCTGGGCATTAAAGTCTTTTGCGTGTTTTGCAAACTCATCGTCCTTTCCTAAAGCATTTTCTGACTCAGTCGCAACCAAATTGGATGCTTTATTTATGAGCCCTATTTTATTTAATCTTAACTTCTTTGCAACCAGCCTCCAATCTTCCCTTTATTTGCATCTAATGTCTTTGAAACCCTTCCTCCACTCATTTTATTTACTGCGTCATAAGCTCCAAGTGCTTTTGCTCCAAATGCTAATGCTTTTGTTCCCATTGCGCCTAAAGCTGCCCAAACTACCATTTACACCATATTAAAATCATCTCTCTTCAATATTATCTCATAAAAGTTCTCGTTACTGGAGAAAGTCAATGAAACATAAACGTTCTCATTCATAAACTTATTTCTTATCTCATCTATACGCTTCAAAATGTCTGAACAATTGCTAACATCTTCTACAACAGTTATTTCATCATGAATGACCTTCAAGAACAAGCTCATTTAATATGCTATTAAAATCATCTCAATAATGAGTCCATCCTTTCCGTCTTTGGGTAGCACAACATCTTTCATTGAAGAAGGTTCGACAAGTCTTATGTTAAACTTACTGACAAAGTTTGTTATACTATAATGCTTCGGCGGCGAATACATATAGTTTGAAAGACATAATATAGATTCTTCAGCAAATTCACTTATACTGGATTTTATAACAATGTTCTCACGAGACCAAATACCACCAATTGACAATCTTGTAAGCAATCCTGCTGAACCTTCTACTGTAAACGTCGATGGTAACATTCCACGAAGGTCATCTATTGACATCTTTGAGTCACTGAATTTAAATATTTTCTTAAAGCAATCGTCATTATCTAACCATGCAATAGCTTTGAAGTTTTCATTCGAATATACATCTGCTTCATTAAATGTAAAACCTGACTTCTTTGCAGAGATGACTTTAAAATCTATTGAGTTTGTTTCAAAATTATATGCTATGGTAACTTCTGAAGGTAATGGATGTCCTTCCGCAGTAAGTTGTTCTCTCACTACCGTTTGAAGCTTTGTGTTAAAAACTTTCATGTCATCTCCTGTGTCTAGGTTCACATACACAGCAACAGGAAAACTATCTTGCTTCTTTGTTTCATCATTATATCTCAAAACATTAAAGTTCTTCAATAATATTGTTCTTCCTGCTGGAATACTTCGAACCTGTCTGATTTCAATAGCTTTCTCACCTCCTACATACTCTACCCAGTGTCTTGGATATTCATAAGTATACTGACTTTCTTGAATTTTGGTTGGTTTCATCATAACGTGTTCATAGTATATCTTTATACTCTTGTCAGTTAGACTCGGTGCTATGTTCTGAATATTTCTGACTTGCATTTTTAATGGAGATAAAATGAAGCATTTAATACATGACGTAGATGAAAACATGAATGAAACTACAGACAAACTTAACTCTTCTCTTATTCTTCCTTTCAGCAAAGATTATGAATTCTGTTCAAATGGTGTGTATTTCTATTGTGGAAAGATGGGTTCAGGTAAGACATTTAACCTCATTCGTCATATACTCATAACAGAGCGTTTAGGAAACGACTCTTACTATGACCAAATCATTATATCAGCAACTTCAGACTCTATGGATTCAACAGCGAAAACATTTATGTCAAAAGTTCAAGCCTCTGTCGTTAAAGTTCCAGACAGTGAACTCATTGAATTTCTTCAACGTTACATTCGACGTAAGAGGAAATATTATGCCATCGTTGAATTTATACAGTCAGGAATGCAAAAGACTTCTGAGGAGATGGAAAGAATTATTGACAAACACCACTTACGTCAGTACTCAGGAGTTTACGATATGAAACGACTGACAAACTACATTCTGTCAAAACTTTCAAAATACCCCTTCAAAAAGTATCCTTCAAACACTCTGCTCGTTTGCGACGACTTCGCCGGAAAAGGTTTAGTGTCAAAGCCTGACTCGCCATTAGCTAACATCATAACTAAAGTCAGACATTACCACTTAACTGTAGCAATACTTATGCAAACATGGCGTTTTCTTGCTTTAAACATAAAACGTCTCATAACTGACTTCGTTATCTTTCAAGGTTTCTCACGTTATGATATTGAACTCATTTGGAAACAGTCAGGTATAACATTACCTTTTGAAGAAATTTGGGAAGCATATAAGTCTCTCATCTCTCCTCGTTCATACCTTGAGATTCATATCATGACTAATACCATTAAAGTCAAAAATATTCCATGGGAACGACCAACATTGTTTTAAAGCTTAACCTTCAATTGACTGATGGTAAACAAATTCCATGCATCTCTGTCGCCATTTCTGTTAATATTTTTGCTGTCATTCATATCATCCACTTCCCCATCCGTTAGCTTTTGAGGATATGCGTTAGAATAGCTGTTCTTAAATGAAGGCTTTTCACATTTGAGAGCATAAACTCTATAACTTTCTGCATACTTTATGTTTGAACCTCCTGAGCCATCATTGACATAAATTTTTATAGGCTTCCACCCTTTGTTCATGTTTCTGCTTCTTCCCTTAGCTCTTTTGTTCAGTAGTTCTACATCTTTATACACAGCACCTGTCTCAGTGAATTCAACAATATTTTCATTCGTTAGCTTTACATTCAAACCCTTGTCGAGTATATTGTTCATTTCATACATATAAAAGGTTTTTATTCTATATGAAATGAGAAGCAAATCCATCTTAGCTGGTGCTGTTAATGTTCCAATTGAACCAACATCAAATGTTGACTCACGAACGACAAACAATATTGTCATAAAGAACTATAGTTCAGAGTGTTTGAAAGAACCAGAACCAGAGCTGAAATCCGTGAACTTAAACACAGCTTCAAACGCTAACGCTACATCAGATGTTAAGTTAGAGTATCCACCACTGGACCAAATTCTTTCAAGAGAAGCCAACGACAATCCTTACACAAATGTTCAAACAAATCCTTCAGATAACGTAGACCATTACCTTCTTCAGTTATACCAAACAATTTTACTCAAAGACGATAAGAAGCTTTTGGTAAATCTTATAAGTAAGAACCAAATAATTCTAACAAAGGAGGATTTAGAAAATGTTATATCACGAATAACAGGGAAACAATGTGTCATTGACTATCTCGACCCTGAAATTGAATGCTGTGGTCAAACTCCACTATTCATGAAAATAGGTAACATCCGCATCATTGAAACACCAGGAACTACAGGAGTTGAGTTTAAGTATAAATATTCGAATGAATATACAAAACTTTCAACAGAATATAAGCTTTGTTTGAAATATGTTTTAGTAAATTAAAGCAGTCAGTCAAAAAAATTTCAAGTTAGCAATTTGTAATATCTATCCAAAACTTCTTCAACAGTATCGAACTCATCTTCATAATGCAAACCTAATCTTATTGACTTGGTGCAGTTTTCACTAACACAATATTTTTCTGTTCTCTTGACTGACATAACTAACTCATTTGTTTCATCAAACAGCAACAACCAAAGTTCATGACCTAATACATAACATTCATACTTTATATTTTTAGCTCTGAGTTCTCTTGTAAGCTGTTGCATTTAATATTTTCTAAAAAGTCAACTTCAACAGTCATTCGCACTGGTGCCTTCAGTTCTACAGGCTCTCCTTGAAAGTCAACAAGTCTGAATTGCATGTCTTTCAAATTATGAGGACTAATGCGAACCCATTTACCTAAATGAGTTGCTATGACAGGAACGTTTGGAATGAACATTGAATTTACTTCATAACAGAAAGACTTATATTCTACTGAACCTTTACTATTAACTCCTGAAATGCCTGTGACATTAGCTATTTTTGACTCAATGTACAAACAATTG